GGGATCATTTTAGCAGAATTTTCTTTTTTTTTTTATACTGCATTCCTCTGACATAGCTCTTTCCAGATTGAAGGGATGCAAATGAGGTAAGAATTAAGGCAAACCTAAAAGGCATGCAAATGAAGTACATTTATATCCACTGACAATACAAGCACATGTGTGGATCAGACTTAAGAGCTGAGGAACTCTTCCCCTCTGTCTGTCCAGTACTACTTTACAGCAGAATGGTGACATGATTTATAATAAACAGTTAACATTACCATGGGAATTCAGTGTCACTAACATTACTCAGTCTAGGAGACACAAAGCTAGCATCAGTAAAACATGAACAATAAATAATATAATTCACTGCAGCACAGGACTGCTGCACAGGCTTCAGAGGAATAGGGTTGTTATGAAATGACATTGCACACATCACGTTGTGGCAGTTTATTTTTATAATATATACTTTTAAAATTCTTTAGCAAATGACATTCTCATGCACACAAGTGTTTCAAACACAAGAAGCAAGTCCATTTATAGGTAGTCCAAGCAAATTTTTGTGTGTGTGGAAATAGCTGCAAACTGAATGGAACATTAAATTTCTGTGCAGTCTATGACGCATTGTACACAAGCTCATTTTTGAATGTCACACTGCAGGAGTAATACAATGGAAGGATCACTCTTTGCAGCTTCTTTGAATTCATCCAGTGTGATCTGGTCGTCTTTGTTCTTATCCATCTTACTGAAGATCTTGTCTACCCGTTGCTCAGGCGTCAGACCATCCTCATTCATTTTCATCATTATCACAGTGCCCACCATTTTGTAGATGGCCTTTGGGAAGAAATCAAATAGAAAATTCAGCACACAAATTAACCTGATTTTTCAATGTGATCAAATTCTGGGAAGATATTCCAACAATGAAATGACTGTCGGTTTCCCTAAAGATTTTTTTTTTTCTTAGAATCTGATGTCCATATACTTAAAACAAGGAAGAATGTGTTTTTACTTTCTTTAGATGTAGATTTATTTTGGTGGTTGCATTTTGCATCCTGGAATGAATTTCTTTGGCTTTCTGTTTCACAGTGCAAAACTATTCTCTGTAACCTATTCTCTGGATCAACTGTTTATTTGGCTTTTAGTCACTCCACTGAAATATTTCACACAAATTCTGAATAATCAGTTTCAGAAGTCATCACCTTTTAATAGCTTTTTATGTCTACATATGAGCAAAATCTGGTATTAACTACTGTGGTGAGTAGCCAGCAGATGATGAGGGTGGTAAACTTTATCCTTCCTGTTACATGCTGTGGTCATCTTAAAGCCCATCTGTGAGAGCTCACTTAAAATAGTGTGTTGTTATCCCTGCAAATTTCTGTAATCATCTAAAGTTAATCTCCAGTAAGGTTTCAGTTACTTGAGTTACAAACCAGTAATTTCATGGGTGTCAAGTGATTTTGAGATGGGCTTTGTAAATCCTTTGCTGTGCTGTTCTTATGGTTAATCCGTTCATCAGAAAAAAAAAATTACCTCTTGATATTTAAAAGCTTATGTGCACATATGTACTCTCTGCAATTCTCAAAGATTACATCTATTAAAACGTTAGTGTGCTTGCATCAGTTAGGTATGAGTCAGTATAGGATGAATGTATGTAATGTATGTTTTTAATAATCCAGTACAGCCTCTTGTGTGCTTAAAATCTAAACGGTATGTGAACAAGTAATCAAATTTTACTAATGTTCAGACGTTATTTTTCAGTGTCATATTGATCTCACCTCTATAATTTCCAGCATTTCCACTCTTGTAATTTTACCATCGCCATCCAGGTCGTACATGTTGAAGGCCCAGTTCAGCTTTTGCTCAAAACTGCCGCGAGAGGTGATGGACAGTGCACAAATGAACTCTCTGAAGTCAATGGTCCCATCTCCGTTTTTATCAAAGGTTCGGAAGGCGTGCTGGGCAAACTTTGAAGCATCTCCATATGGGAAGAACTGCAAAATAAAATAATAAATAGAACTGTGGGCAACACGAGGGAGCGAGCTATGTACCTGCCTGCAAAATACTGAAGTGAGGCATTTATGAGGAGTTGCTGGTGGGCTTTGTGTGAAACTGAAGATATGCAATGTAAGCTTCTGTAACAGTTACAGTGTAATGGTTATTAAAAACTCATTTCTACAAAAATCTCGTAGCTTACTGCAAACCATATTACAAATATATTTAACCCTAATTTAAAGCCTAATTAATTAGTTGAACCTTAAAATGAAGCTGGGTGTAAATGGGAGATTCTATGAATATTCTCTGACTATGAAATACAGCAACCAAAGTGCATTTTAGAAGCATTTTTTCTGCCTGGGAGTAACCAGCCCTTGACATGTTGCAACCAAGTAGATGTGTGGACTTGTTGTTATGTAACTTTATTTATTAAAAAAAACCCATAAGCCACACATAGCATAAAAAACCAGGAACATATGTTCTCTTCTGCCAACCAACATAATACAAGTACGTAAGATGAGAACTGAGATTCAGTTAAAGAACAATGCTTGTCATGTTTAATATCCATTATCAGTGAACACTGCAACTGACTGTAGCTTAACAAAATATTTTAAATAACCATAACATGTAGGTTTTCAGGTGATATTTTTTCCCCTAAAGTAATGTTTGATTTAAGACATTTGAGATAGTAGTTGTTCTTTCTGTGGCCCAGACTCAAGAAAACATACCTCCTAAGAAAGGGAGTTTTAAACCAGTGCTGAAGTCCCATTGCAGTGAAGGGATTAAACACAAGTAATGTTTGTTTCTATATTCTTAGCACAATTTCATGGAGGTTTTCATGCTGCTAAAATATCAATGTGCATTACTCCCAATCTAAGAGTCATCTCATTTTATGCTTTTTTAAATTCCAATTCTTAGTAAGTATTGCATTTAATAATGTAAGTTTGAAGGAAAGACTTCAGTGGCAGCCAAGGAAGTGGATCTGCATTTTACAATTTTCCATTTCCCTGTCCAGAGCCTTCACTGCAGGCTGATGGTTGCTGCGGTCAGCTGTAAAAGCTCTTGAACAACACACTCAGATTTCACGGAGGATCTTAGGGATTTCACAGCGTATACAGAAATGGGTGCTACTAATTGTCTGACTAAATACAGATGTAGAATATGGCAAGCCTTTGCTGCTTTTCCTTTGAGGAGACCAAATGACCATTTGGATACTGTATCTTGCCCTAAAAAATGCAAAACTTAGTGCAGAGTCTGCTGCTTGCAACAGATTTGTGGCCACATGGGTTATGTCAGGAGCCACTGCTGCATTGCCAAAGGGGTCCTAACCTGAAAGTTTCCTTACTTACTGTTTTCTCTGACACTTTTCAGACACAATTCCAGATAACCTTTGCGTTGCTGTAGAGGTATGATTGCTATACAATCTCTTCTCTGGCTCAGTGGCATTATAGTCAATACAGAATCTTCCTTAAATTTTGCCCACTTCCATCCATTCAAAGTATTGCCCTGCTGTGAATTACCCCCAAAGGGATGCAAATCTCTGTATTATCCCAGAAGAGCTATCAAATACGCCCATCTCAGTTCCCAAGTATCTTTTTGAGAAGATATTTGAACATGTTGCGGAGGCATTGAGAGAGAGGGACGCTGTACCCATTCCAGTGGTATTTTGTCCAGGTTAACATTGCTGTTGAAGTTGCTATTTTCTCATTTGGCTTTGAATGGGTCAGCATCCACCTGCTGCTTCTACACCCCTTCTCCAATAGCTGAAAGAGGCATTTGGTACTGTCTCCTCCTGAAAATGTAACTTATGTGCCTCTACTCAACCCAGCCCCTGTTTCTGTTTTGGTAATCCAAACTGATGGAGCTGTAAATACCTCAAGGTACTGTTGCAGCTCTTTCTGTGCTTTCTGGTTTTTGACCTTGAAGAATTTTTGGACTCTGGTATGGTAAGCATGATTGGGCTCGTATCCTGGTTTCGGCTGGGATAGAGTTAATTTTCTTCTTAGTAGCTGGTACAGGACTATACATATGACTCTTGTGGTTTAACCCGGCAGGCAGCTAAACACCACACAGCCGTTTACTCACTCCCCCCCGCAGTGGGATGGGGGAGAGAATTGAAAAAAAGAAGTAAAATTTGTGGGTTGAGATAAAGACAGTTTAATAGGAGTGGGTTGAGATAAAGACACTTTAATAGGACAGGAAAGGAAGGGAAAATAATAATAATAATAATAATAATGACAAAAGAATATACAAAATAAGTGATGCACAATGCAATTGCTCACCACCCACCGACTGATGTGCAGCCAGTCCCCGAGCAGCGATCGCTGCCCCCTGGCCAAGCCCCCAGTTTATATACTAAACATGACGTCATATGGTATGGAATATCCCTTTGGCCATTTTGGGTCAGCTGTCCTGGCTATGGTCCCTCCCAGCTTCTCGCTGGCAGAGCATAAGAAACTGAAAAGTCCTTAACTGATGTAAGCACTACTTAGCAACAACTAAAACATCAGTGTGTTATCAACATTATTCTCATACTAAATCCGGAACACAGCACTATACCAGCTACTAAGAAGAAAATTAACTCTATCCCAGCTGAAACCAGGACAGCTCATAAACACATACAAAGATATATAGATTCTCTGATACAACTCAGGACTGCAGTGACTACCAGACCTTGCTGAATTGCTCTTCTAGTGCAAACCTCAACCTTTTGTCAAAGCAAAAAGAGCTTCCTCCGCGGGAAGGCTCTTTGGCTCACAAGTCTAGGTTCACCTGTGTCAGTACAAAGTTATATGAATGTTATCCAAAACCTGAACGTTATTTGCAGGTTATTGAAAATCCTGCTCATTGCCTTCTCTTCTTCATGATCTACCCTTCCCCCAACTTCTGTATCAACTGGAGATGTTAACGTAGGTGATATTTATTTTTACGTGTATGTGTGTATAAATATATGTACGCTTCTGCAGATCACTGGTGGGAAGTTAAGAAGTGGCTATTGTGCCCTTGCTCCACCGGCTCTCCACTGCCCCCCCCCTCCTATTTCTTAGGAGCTTGCTGGCTGTTCAAAGCTGAAAAGACAATTAGAATAATCTCTTGCTTTTTAAATCTGTACTGATCACTGTCCTGTGACGTGTAGGTTACGAAACAAAATACTTCAAAATTTTACAGTCTTCCAAGCATTTCAGTTAAGAGCTGACTGTTGCTGAGGATGCGGCCCAATCGGTATTTCTGTGACTCTCAGTCCACAGTCTGTAACAGAAAGGCAAGCAGCCAGAGGGAATTGGGATTGTCCTTTTCACCATCCAGAGAAACAAAACACATTCAGGTGCTTCCTCCTATGATCCAGACTGAGAAATGGTACGAATGTACTGGTGGGACCACAGAACTAAACTACAATGAAGAGGCTCACCTACAAAAATGGCTAAGTGGCAGACACCCAAAAATACTCAAGAGCCCAAGAACGAAGTGGGGGATCAGGAGGGGTCAGTGGCTGGAGATGCCGAAGACCATTTCTAAATTATTCTTGGGGAAACAGAATTATTTTTGGGGATGGAATGCCTCTCCTATGAAGAAAGGCTGAGAGAGTTGGGGTTATTCAGCCTGGAGAAAAAAAGGCTTTGAGGAGACCTTATTGCGGCCTTTCAGTACTTAAAGGGGGCTTGTAAGAAAGATGCGGCAAACTTTTTAGCAGAGCCTGTTGCGACAGGACAAGGGGGAATGGCTTTAAATTAAAAGAGGGTAAATTTAGTCTAGATATAAGGAAGAAATTTTTTACAATGAGGGTGGTGAAACACTGGCACAGGTTGCCCAGAGAGGTGGTAGATGCCCCATCCCTGGAAACATTCAAGGTCAGGTTGGACGGGGCTCTGAGCAACCCGATCTAGTTGAAGATGTCCCTGGTCATTGCAGGGGGGTTGGACTAGATGACCTTTAAAGATCCCTTCCAACCCAAACCGTTCTATGATTCCATGATTCTATGAAACACGAACATATCATTCAGCCTCCCATCAGAGGAGCATAAGCAAGCTGTGCCTACCTCTTGTGTCAGTCATACCGTTAACCTCACGTAGCAGGGAGAAAAGAATCCTTCTAAATTTTTCATCACAGACAAGAGAACAACTTTTTCTCTTCTGAAGTGAGAAAGGCGATGGCACTGCTCAGAGCAAAGCCTTGGCATTTACAGCCTAGTAAGGTGAACAAATGGAAATGATGCCTTTTTTTTTTCTTTTTTTTCCTCTCTATTTGCCTCCCTCTAGGGAGCAAATGCAGTAAAAGGTCCTTTAGGAACTGAAGGCACTCTTCTCCAGTCTGTACCTGCTGATTTGTATTATTTTTAGCTCAGAACGACTAAAAAACATTGCCAATACTTGTTTAAAAACCTACTTGAAGACTTCCATTGGCCTGTTTTGAAATGATTCATAAATAAGAAATGGAGTAAAAGAAAACCAAAACAATTGCAGAGCAAAAGAAGCCAGCTCTGGTAAAACATTATTTGACTCTTGAAGTACAGTGAGGCTTTAGCAAGGTGTAAAGGCACAGTCTTTAACTACTTTAAGACTAGTCTGAGCCAAGTGGCAATAGGAGACAGGGATCTCTGGAAGACAAACACACATTTTTGGCAGGGGGAATATGAGGAGGGTGGTTTAGTCTGCCTCATATGGCACTCTGGCACGAGCTCAGTGAACGCCTCAGAAACAAGTAAAGAAACACAACTTTTCAGAGGCTACAGGCCTTTTCAGAGGCTAAAAACACAAGAAAGCCAGTGCCTTCAGCCTTCGACCTCCTCTGCAAACCCTTGTGCAGGTGATCGATCTACATATGAAAGCCACTAGTTCCTTTCTGCTGTAATGCTACCACTGAAAAGTGCACTCTACTCACCAGCATTATCTCCTGCTTTACCCTTTTCATCCAAAAATCAAGGCAAACTATACCTGCCTGGGCTTTTTACAGCAGTTAGTTCCACGGGTGACCAAACACTGGTCACTCCTTTGTTTCTGCT